ATATATAAACTGCCTTCATACCATTGCTTGGAGGAAATCCTCCGGGAATACTTGGTCCGGTGTCAGGTCCAGGTTGTCTTCTACCATTAAGGAAAGGTCCCTGTCCATCACCAGTTCCTGTTGGCCTTTCACCATCCGGGAAAAGTCCTTGTCCATTATCAGTTCCTGGTTGCCTTCCACCATTCTGGCTTAGTCCTTGTCCATCCCCAGTTCCTGGTTGTCTACCACCATTCTGGAATGGTCCCTGTCCATCCCCAGTTCCTGGTTGTCTTCCACCATTCTGGAAAGGTCCCCGCCCTTCATCAGTTCCTGGTTGTCTACCACCATTCGGCAACGGTCCCTGTCCATCCCCAGTTTCTGGTTGCTTTCCACCATTCTGGAAAGGTCGCTGTCCATCCCCAGCTCCTGTTGACCTTCCACCATTCGGGAAAAGTCCCTGTCCATCTCCAGTTCCTGGTTGCCTTCCACCATTCGGGAAAGATCCTTGTCCATCCCCAGTTCCGGTTGGCCTTCTACCATTCGGGAAAGATCCTTGTCCATTCCCAGTTCCTGGTTGTCTTCCACCATTCGGGAAAAGGCCCTGTCCATCTCCAGTTCCTGGTTGCCTTCCACCATTCGGGAAAGGTCCTTGTCCATCCCCAGTTCCAGTTGGCCTTCTACCATTCGGTAAAGATCCTTGTCCATCCCCAGTTCCTGGTTGTCTTCCACTATTTGAGAAAGGTTCCTGTCCATCCCCAGTTCCGGTTGGCCTTCCACCATTCGGGAAAGGTCTTTGTCCATCCCCAGTTCCTCGTTGTCTTCCACTATTTGAGAAAGGTTCCTGTCCATCCCCAGTTCCTGTTGGTCTTTCCACCTAACAGGTTGGTTTCATATATATATAATATATATGATATATATATATAGTTATATTAGTATATATAACAGCATATAGAGATATATAGAGCAACGACGCATTGCGCACGCCAGCCCCCCCCCCCAGCTGACCTCCCGGTGACCTCTCCGTCGCCACTCACCCATGTCGGAGCCGCGGAACACGTCGCCAGGCCCGCCCGGCAGGAGCAGCTCCGAACTATCGCCGATCTTCGCCAGCATGTTGGCGATATCGTCATCGTCGCCGTCGCCGGTCGTGACGAGTCCGGGCACGTTGGCGACGCCGCCGCCGGGGAGGTTCTCCTCGTAAAAAGGTCCGCTTTTCGTCGATTCGTCGACGACGGCCGGACCGCCGGAGAGTGACGGCCGGGTGGTGAGAACGGTGACGGGAACGCTGGCGTGGATCGCAGGCCGTGTCGGCACCTAGATAAACACGAGCGAAAACATCACAAATGTGGTGTGATCGTCCGTCGGACAAGTGGCGTTGTCGGGGGGGGGGGGAGGAAAATGCAGCGCCGGACGGGTTAGAGGTTTTCGCGGGCGACGTAGTTGTCGAGGAAGAATTAATTTGGAAGAAATAATTAATAAAATTAATCAATTAATTATAATGTAATTAGTGTTAAATTAAAGGAATGTGGTCAATAGAGGTATGGCTTTTGGATTCGGTTCGAATATATATATACTAATCATGAACGCAGCAGAAGAAAGCGCGCCGTGAGATTCGTAAACCAATGCGAGCACGTCCAAAAGAAAGCGTCGCCTTCTCAGGGGAAAACCCTGGACAAGGGGCGCTGCACAACCTACCAGGCAGCGATAGGTGGCGCTGTCGCTGAGCAGGATTCTGTCAAGCCGCAGGATGTAGTGTCTCTCTCGCTGCGGTCCCTCCATGCTCACGCTGAAGCGCTGGTCGAACGTCGTCAGCACGGGCCCGACAGACAGCAGCTCTGTGCTCCTACCCTGAATCCTCAGCCACGACACCTGGCGGCGAAGAAAACAGTAAAATATACACGTTTAGTGATTATTTGTTTTATTTATTTGTGATTTTTATAATTGTATTGGATTTTTTTCATTTTAATAATTACCTCATAATTTTTTATTTTACATAATTATCTCATAATTTTTCATTTTAATAATTAACCTGACGAACCTGAACGCTAATTAGTATAGATAAATAGCACACCTTGTCACTGTTGTAGTTCCTGACAATGCATCGCAGGATGATGCTGTCTCCTCTATAAGCGACGACATCCGTGGTCACTGCTGCTATGCTGGGTCGCGTATTGTCGGAAGGAACTGCAAAAGATTGGTTAGTTTACGGAATATAATTTTGTTAGTTAGTTTAATTAGTTAGCTAGTTAAACTAATTGGTTTTTGCCTCGGCTTGTGGACTGGCCCAACGTGAATTGCGCCAAGTAAAGACACTGAAACATGGCAAACATCAACTACGATTCATTCCGAAAATCTATCATAGACTAGATATGACCAGATCCTACACCCATAGACTTTGAAAAATAGACTTTGACTTTAAAAAATTGAGACTTTGACTTGATTTTTTTTAAATTTTGACATCACTATATCCTATATTATCCATGACGTCAATTTACAAAATCTATTTCATTGAAACAGAAGATTGTGGTTGACAATTGACAACTACCTTGATTTCCATTCGGTCTTCTGCCGCCCGAAATAGCAGTCCCACTCTCCACGGTGAATATAGCCTCACGGGGACCAGACGGAGAAATCTCCCCTAAAAACACGTTATTTATGTATATTAGTGGTGCGTTTGCTACATCAAAGCTACCCGAGATTCACATATTACACATATAATCCCCCATATGATGCAGCATATACAAACAGGTCTCTGTAGCCATTAGAGCCTGTACAATCAATATGTAATATTTTACGATGGTAAACCATGATACGATGAATGAAACCCACACTGACAAAAAGTTGTAAAAAATCAACAAAATGGATTGATAAGCAATAGAACTTTCATTACTTGTCTTAGAAGGAAAACGATCGTATGATGAATGCAACCCACACTGATAAAATGTTGTAACGCGTCAACGAAATGGATAAACAATAGAACAGTTGTTACCTGGGTTGGTCGGCGTTAGAATAATTCCAGGTATGCCAGGCATTCCGTCGCGAGGGAGAGCAGGGCCACGACCCGGATCTCGACCCGGATCTACGTCATCCTCGTCGCCAGGTCGTGGTAGAACCGTCACATGACTCCCAAGCCTCACGTCTTCGTCTGGGTGCGATGGCCGAACTGTGGATGAACGAGGAAACACCGTGTTCAAGCCGTGGTAGCGATACAGCAATAGAGATTAAATCTTTAAAGTTTAATTAGAACAAGTTTAAGCAGAAATGTTTCTAAAACTTGTTTACTTATATAACAAGGTTTGTTTATATATATATATATATATATATATATAATATATATAAACTGCCTTCATACAATGTGCTTTGGATGGAAATCCTCCGGGAATACTTTGGTCCAGGTTGTCCAGGTCGCAGGTGTCCTCTAGCCATTAAGGAAAGGTCCCTGTCCATCACCAGTTCCTGTTGGCCTTCACAACATCGGGAAAATGTCCTCTGTCCTTACAGTTCCTGTTGCCTTCAGCACATTCTGGGCTTAGTCCCTTGTCCATACCCCAGTTCTGGTTGTCTACCAACCTATTTTGGATGGTCCGATGTTTCATACCCCCAGTTTCCTGTGTTGTCTTCCAGCGCATTCGGAAAGGTCCCCGCCCTTCATCAGGTTACTGGTTGTCCTACCTACATTATCGGCAGACGGATCCACTGTCCATCCCCAGTTTCTGGTTGCTTTCACACCATTCTGGCAAAGGTCTCTGTCCCATCCCCAGCTCTGTTGACCTTCCACCATGTCGTGAAAAGTCCCTGTCCAGTCTCAGTTCACTGGTTGCCTTCCACCATTCGGGAAAGATCCTTGTCCATCCCAGATTTCCGGTTTGCCTTCTAACCATTCGGAAAAGATCTTGTCCATTTCGCCAGTTTCCTGGTTGTCTTCCACCAATGTCGGAAAAGGCCTGTCCATCTCCAGTTCCCTGGTTGCCTTCCACCATTCGGGAAAGTTTATGTCTCATCCGCAGATCCAGTGGCCATTCCTACGCATTCGGTAAAGGATGCTTGTCCATCCCCAAGTTCCGATGGTTTCTTCCACTATTTGGAGAAAGGTTCTCTGTCCATCCCCGAGTTCCCTGTTGCTTTCCAACAGTTTAATCTGGAAAGTCCCATTGTCCATCCCCACTCCTGTTGGCCTTCCACCATTCATGGAAAAGTCCCAGTCCATCTCCAGTTCCTGGGTTGCGCTTCCATCAAATTCCGGAAAGATCCCTGTCCGCATCACCAGTATCCATGTTGGGCTTTCCACACGATTTGGAAAGGTACCTGCCCATCCCCATTCCAGGTGGCCTCCACCATTCGGGGAAAGGTCCTTTGTCTCACCCCAGTTCCGGTGGCCTTCCACCATTCGGTGAAAAGGTCTTTCGTCATCCAGTCTTCTTTTGTCTTCCACTATTTGAGAAAGGTCCACTGGCCATCCCAGTTCCTGTTTGGCTTTCATCCATTCTGGAAAGGTCTCCTGGTCCCATCCCCAGATCCTGTTGTTCTACCACCATTCTGGAAAGGTCCCGTCCATCCCCAGTTCCGGTTGCTTCGCCCATTTCGGAATGTTCCCCCCCCCCCCCCACTCTTGTCCATCCCAGTTCGCTTGGCCGGTCCACCAATTCGGGAAAGGTCCTGTCTCATTCCCGCAGTATCCTGGTTGCGTCCACTTATCTGGAATGTCCCTTTGAGTCCAGTATTCCCCATTCCAGTTGGCCTTCCACCATTACGTTAAAAAGTATTGTCGCATCCCCAGTTATCTGTTGCCCGTACTACCAATTCGTGAAAGGTCGCCTAGTCCATCCCCAGTGTTCTGGTTGTCTTCGTACCATATGCTGGAAAGGTCCCTCGTCCATCCCCAGTTTCTGGTTGTCTTCCACCATTCTGGAAAGGTTCCTTGTCCATCCCGAGTTCCTGTTGGCCTTCCACCATGTCTGGATAAAGTCCTTGTCCAATCCCTAGTTTCCTGTTAGGCCTTTTCACATTCGGGAAAGGTCCTTAGTCTCATATCTAGTTGCCTGGTTTGATCTTTCCACATTCTGGATTGGTCCTATGTCATCGCCAGTTCCCTGGTGTGTCTAACCACCATTATGGAAAGGTCCTGTCCATCCCCAGTTCCTGGTTGTCTTCCATCATTCTGGAAAGATCCCTGTCTATCCCCAGTTCCTGTTGGCCTTCCACCATTCGGGAAAAGTCCTTGTCCATCCCCAGTTCCTGTGGCCTTCCTCCATGTACGGGAAAGTCCCACGCCATCACCAGAGTTCTGGTTGTCTTCCACCATTCGGGAAAGGTCCCTGTCCATCCCCAGTTTCTGGTTGTCTTCCACCATTCTGGAAAGGTCCCTGTCCATCCCCAGTTTCTGGTTGTCTTCCACCATTCTGGAAAGGTTCTTGTCCATCCCCAGTTCCTGTTGGCCTTCCACCATTCGGGAAAGGTCCCTGACCATCTCCAGTTCCTGTTGGCCTTCCACCATTCGGGAAAGGTCCCTGTCCATTATCAGTTCCTGGTTGCCTTCTACCATTCTGGATTGGTCCTTGTCCATCCCCAGTTTCTGGTTGTCTTCCACCATTCGGGAAAGGTCCCCGCCCATCACCAGGGAATGAATCACCGCGCGTTCCAGGCTCCGGTCTACCATTCTGAGACGGACCCCGTCCATCCGCCACTCCCGGTCCAACATTCCCGCCGTCCGTTGGCCGCCGGCCACCATTCTCTCCTTCCTGGTTCATCGGGTACTCCTGGTGGTTGCGGTAGTGGTCCGTATGATCGCCGTGGCCACCATGCTCGTGTTCCCCGTACGGATCGAACGCCATGATGACCGTCCCGTCGTCTGTCCCTCCCGCTGGGGCGAAGGGGTTGAAAGGAACTCTCGTCTGCACGCCTCCGTCACGGGAATCGACGAAGAAAGGTTTCCCGAAGACTCCTCCGTCCGTACCGTCTGTCCTCACGCCGACGTCCGTCTCGTCTGGCCTCACGAGAATAGCGCTGTCGCCGATATTATTGCTGCTGCCGACGAAAGCGGCCGCCGCGCACGCGCGCACGCAGACTGGGGCGTCGGACACTAGCGGCGTGCGTCGGTGCCGCAGCATGTGTTCCATCGCCGGCACGTAGCGGTTCGTTGCGACGGGGTGCAGCATGTAGAGACAGTCGTCGTCGGTGAAGGCCAGGTCCATCGCGTCGCCAGTGTCGCGACGTCGCGAGAACTCGAGCGTCGTCATGCCGTCCTCGTGTCGGCCGGAGATGCCGACGATGTCGTCGCGCGTGTCCCTGACAGCCGGAGCATACTTGAAGAGAAATCTGTAAAGAAGGAAACCTCTGAGAAAGAGTGGGAGTGGGGCGGATTTGTTTTCGGTGCATGTGCATTAGATTTGTCTCGAATACACTATATATTCTCTCTCTCTATATATATATATAGAAAAGTTCTTATATCACAAGTTATGATATCACATAATAATATATGTATATGTATTTATTTATTTATTTATTTATTTATTTATTTATTAATATATAAGGCATTTTTTATTTCATGTGAAGTGAAATACATTGGCTTACTGTATGATACTAAGACGGGTTTAGTATTATTTTTTTAGGTTTCGGACCCCCTACTGAGCAGTTAATTAACCCCCGGCTATTAAAAAGCAATAATCTCTGCTTAAATTACAGGATTTTACGATGAAGAGTTTTACCACTAATTGAGTTCTAAAATGGCGGCCACTCGGGAATGTATCTCGCGAACACTTCAGCACGACGATAACATTAACAGAATTTGGTTTGCAGCATCATTCGTCACGGAACTGCCACGGCTACACACATACACGCACGCACGCACGCACGCACGCGCACACACACACGCACACACACACACACAAAGGTCGGCACGACGACTGTCTCTATTTCTTTCTCGCGTCACACGTCATTATAATTCGATTAAAGTCGTTCGGCGAAGTGCGTGTGTTCGTTCGGCGAAGTGCGTGTGTTCGTTCGGCGAGTGTTCCCGTGCCCTACTGACGATGGCTCGGATAACAACATGCTGTATTATACCCCCGCCGTCGTTAGTTTGCTTGAAACACTGCGCTACCGATTAAGCATGGCAGTGAAGATATCCTCAAACAAAGAAATTAACTCTAACGGCACATCTCCCTCTCGCGACGTCCCTCCTAGGTTAACGTGACGTCGCTGTCACGTGCGCTGTACACGTCACTAGCTACTACGCTAGGACACACTAGCTTGCAAAGAGAGTTAGACGTCTAGTTTTATGTGGGCCGTGCTGGTGCTTATCGTTATTCACTTGGCTGAGTTAGTCTTCGCAATTTTCCGCGATAGATTAAGCAACATGCATCATGGGTAAAGCAGGGAGGGAGAATATTATTACTATAGACATATTTGTACAATATATATATATATATATATTATATATATAATATATATAGACATGTTTCGTACAATATATATATAATATATATTATATATATATATATATATATACTATATATGGCATGTATAAGTAAAAATATGTCCATAGTGTTATTACTCTTTAGATATCCTTAGGACCTTGTTACTCTTAGGAGTCCTTACTTCCCTCATTTTTCTTACTGATATATATATTATTTTATAATATATACGTATCTACCGTAAGTATGCGTTACTTATGTGTTGGCAGCTCACTCACCCATCTCGCACCACGACCTTTCCGGATTCGCGGTTCCACCCATCCATACACGACATCCGGACATCGGCTGCAAAGCAAACGACATCAAACATTACAGCACCGCCCCCAAAC